AACAGTTCCCCAGCTGTCAAGGCCGTGGCAGACCTCCTAGGGCTGGAAGCCAATACTTGGTTTCTCTGGTAGAAGGGAGGATCTCCCATTTCTTGCTTACTGTACCTGTGAGTGAAGCCCAACACCTCAAGATCCAGTCCCAGATTCAGTAAGCCATGCTGGAGCCACGTGGGTTGGAGGTCAACATATTTTATCTTACCTGGAAGAGCAACTCCTCATTTGGAAGAGGCTTCTTCTTTCCCCATGGGACTAAATTTAAAAATCCACTGTTGTTTGCAGCTTTTCTGGAGTTTAGAATATGAAAATAAACCTTAAAAAAAAGACACAGACGTGATTAAGGATTTTGGGGAAAAAAAAGAAACATTCATCACACGGTTCAACACTTCAGCATGATAATGCCAAATCTGGAGTACAGTCACCATCTCTCCACCTAAGTCTAAGATTAGCCATGGAATTGTCAGGCTGTAATTCATTTGTTTTTAAAAAATAAATAAGTAAGATGTAAGCTTCGTAACATTCATTTCCAGGACAGGATTGTGGTTATGTAACCCAGCACACAAAATATTTAGCTTTCTCCAAAATTCCACCCTCCTCCCAAGCTGTTTGTTCCTTAGGCTAAGAACAAAAGAGACGTGGAGTCTTTGCAGCCTGGAGAACCATTTATGCTCCTCTTCTTTGTAGCCACCTTTTCCAGACTTGAAATAATTATTATGACTCCCTTCAATTACTTTTTCTCTACATTAAAGGAACCCCTATCTTTTGATCTTCCCTCCCTGTTCATGCCAGGACAGCTTTTATGCAAAAGTGCAAACCACTGCATACATTAAACATGCACTGCAAGCCCCAGGCTTTCCAGGGGCATTAACTTGAGAGGGTAATACCTGGCACAGATTCCACTGAGCAGCTCATTTTAGCTGTTCCCATAAGACTCCTTATGACACAAAATGTGCTTCATCTCATCTGATCTGTTCCTACCACAAAACAGATTAAAGGGAAAAAAAAAACCAACAAAAGAAAACAACACAGGCAAGAGCTATCAGCAAAAAAAATAATTATGAGAAATGTAAACTCCTTTTGTATAGTAACACATCCTCCAAAATAGTTAAATGTTAATTTCTGAGACCTCGTTAAAATAAGTCTCACGGGGCAATGTTGTCACTGTAGCAAGTCCTTCCAGAATTCAGCAGCCTGGGATCTGCCTCAAGCAGCATCACGTCATGCTTTACTTGACACCCAACCCTTCCACCTTCCCAGGCAGGCCCATAAAACTGGCTCTTCCTGCAAAGAGCCTCCACAGCCCAGACCCAGGCCCCAGTACCGTGGGGTCCTCACCTCCTCGAGGTGATGAGCTGGGGTGTATTTGGCTGGGGAGGGGGCTGAGAGCTGCCAGGAGCCCCAGTGCTGCAGCACCAAGCTGCTCCTCTCTGCAGAGAAGCTGCAGAGCCCCCAGAGCTGCCAAGGGACAGGGAGGGACCCAGCCAGGGCCACACTGGGCACTAGTGTGGGGCCCCGTGATGGCAGCATGAAGCTGATGTGCTGAGATGTGCTCCTGTGTTTAGAAAGGCAGCAGAGACAAGCAGGTGGCTGTGGAAAGTCAGTTTATTTCTGAGTTTCACGCGCTCTGTCACAGACCGTTCACTTGGGACTTTCCCCCTTGGCAAACTCACAGCCTCCAGGCCTGGGAGAGATGGGGCATCACCTCTTCTCACTGGGAGCACCCACCTGATGAGAGTGAGGGCTCGATGGCAGCTCACCAGGAGGCAGAAGCCAGCCTCTTGTTCTCATAATGGCCTTTAAACACCGGGAAAGGAAATCCATCTGACTTGGAGGAGCAGTGCAGCTCAGCAGCAGTGAAACCCCACAAGCTGAGCAGGTTGGTCCTCACCCCCCCCCTGTGGTTACAGGGAAAAAGATGACAATCTCATGGGAAGCTCAGGTGAGCTAAGCTGTGGCAGAACACACCGAGGCATTCTTGGAGCCCAGGCAAGCAACCAAGCAGACACACGCCCTGGTCCTCTTACAATCAGTTTGTCTCTGAGCTGCTCTGCCAGGAAGGTGGCCAGGAGCTGCCCTTTTCACATTCAGCTTTAGGTCCTCCTGCTCTGGTGCTACAGCTTCGACCAGAAAGGAGCCTACCTCTAAGTAAGGCAGCCCTCTGGGCTGGACATCAACACTTATCCTGCATTTAATACTGAAAGGTGCCAGTTCAAAAGGATCTGTGACAATCAACAAAGGCTCTGCAACAATTTGGGTACAGGATTAGTTTAAGTTTCTTGCATACTTGCCCTGCTCCCTGCCTCTGTTGCCCCTTATGCCTAACCCTGCTCTTGAAATACTCCTAGCTGCAGCATCCCTGTGATTCATTACATCTTTGGCCTTTGCTGAGACTGCCACTGCCAGGGCAGCTCCTGTCTGCTGTGGTGGCTGCCTGTGGGAAGGGAGCATTTGCCTCCTGAGAACGAGCCCGTGGCTAGCTCAGAGGAGGGCAAAGCTGAAGGGAAGAAATGATGGGAGCGATTCAAGTGGAGCAAAGTCTACAGAAAAAGGCAAAAAGGCAGCTTCAGTTTCCATCTGATATACAAATTGATCTCGATAGCAGCAAGAAATGGCCATAAAATATTAATTCATTAGGTTGCCAGGAAGAACAAAAGCATTCATCCAAAAAAATTCTCTATACAGATATGGGTGTGGCAACTCCAGCCAGCTCACGTCTCACCCCCTTTGTACCTCCAGTTCTGATCATTCCAAACCATGCTGCAGCTCAAAGACCATGACACTGGAGCCAGCACCACATGGGCAAGGGGTGAGAACACGCTGAAGAAATGAACATACTGAGAACTCCTGACAACCCGGATATTTTAATATTTTTTGTCGACCTTCAAGTAAGTAAAAGAAAGGGGAATCTCCCCCAATAGCCTACAGCTTCCAAGTCTCATCTGTCTGCTTTTAGGGTAGGAAGGTTGACATCAGGAAGGCAGTGGAGAGCAGGGAAAGGAAGAGGAGAAAAGAAAATATTTGGGAACCAGAGTGAAGAGCAATCGACAGCTGATCAACATTGACTGCTGCAAAACTTACAGAACACAAAATGGTACAAAGGGAAGTTCTGTCAACCTTTTATAGACTCACAGACTTTATATACACACACAAACTTCAAAGTAGGCAACTGGCAGCCTAGAAAACACCAGTGCCCTAAGGATTAAATAATTTAAAATGCAAAGTTGTGTTATCACTGTATACAGAACACTATCTGACACCTTGGCTGCAATGGACGGGGTTTCTGAGAAAGATGCTCCCTCCCCCCTCTCACCAGCACTGCCTTGGAAAAGAAAACAAAGGATAAAAGCTCCACTCCTGAAACTCACCTCAAAACTTCTGTCAAAGCAGCAGCAAGTCCTGAGAGGAGGAGAGGAGAAAGAAGACTCCTGCTCTCTCCAAACTCTGCTGTGGCAGTCCCCTCTCCAGTGGCAGGGGAGGCTAGGCAGCAGTGGGGACAAAGGTGCTGAAGCTGGGAGAAGGGAGGTGTTTTTGGAACCACAGCTGCACTGGTCTGAGGGACGCAGCCCCAGACATGGGAGGACACCCTCCCTCCCCCTTTCTGAAGACACAGAAGCCAGAAGGCTTAGTGCAGAGTACAGAGAGTGTACGTGGCTGGCTGAGGAGGAGTGTGCCCTCTCCAGCTTCCCAACTGTGAACTGGGAGCGCTGGGAAGTCAGGGCCTGGGAGTGAGGCAGGGGCTGGACAGCCTCAGTTTGGAGGTGGCTGGGGAGGGAACCGAATCAAACACCGAGTGCAGATGGCAAAGCCAACGTGTCTCTAAAAGCCAGCTCTGCATATCTGCCCTGCTAGCAGTGTATGGGGCAGAACACTGCTGACAACACCAGTTCCATCACCTTCATTCTTCTGGCTGGTGAGAAGCTGGCTTGCAGGTGCCCATTACAAAGCCCTTTGAAGCACACGGTCTTTGTTTGCACCTCACATAAACTAGAGCAGTCATAAAGTGATGGGGAAAAGATTAAAAAAAAAACATAATCCCTGTTCCCTCACATGTCTCCCATCCCTCCCCCATAAACAGCCTCTTCCTCTAGGCCAGAAACATCTAAGGAGCCGCCCTGTTCTCCACTCCCAGGGCCATTCCCACCAGCAACACCCAGATCTGACTGGGCAGGAATGGCAAGCCAGGCTCCTTTGGCCTCATCTCAGTCAGACCACAGAGTTTTCTTCCTTCCTTACAACAGCTTCAGGGAGAACTGCCCATACTGGAGGGTGGGTTGCAGTGGTCTGGACAAGCCTCTACCCTCACTCCTGCACCCAGCTTGCAAGGGATGAGAAGGAGCAGGAGCTATGGGCATTGGCTTTCTCCCACTCCAAGCTTGACAGCCCTAAATACTGCCAGTGTCATCATTATCCACCAAGAAATACCCAAACCTGACCCTATCCAAATCATTTCACTCAGTCTGCCCTGCACAACTGGGGTCAAAGGGGCCAAAAAACACAAGAAAGGAGGAAAAAAAAAAACAAAAAAAAAGGGAAAGTGAGACAGTATGAGTGTGGTACATTAGAGGTAAAAAAACATGGGGCAAAGTCAGACTGGAGGAAAGGACCTTGATGCAAGTCTGCTAAAATCATCACTGGATTTACCAGCCCAGTTCCACCTTCTCCAGATCAAAATGGACTCGTTGCAGTAAGTGCACTACAGGAGAAAAAAAAAAATGCATAGTTTGTGGGTTTTTTTGGTAGACGCTTAAACATGGGCAGAATTTAGGCAAGGATCTCAGAGCTGCAGTTTTAGCCTCTTTTCCCTAGCCAATGGACACCAATTGGGGCAGAGATGGTGGAAATGGACCAGTAGCACCAAGAAATTCAGTGGGAGCACCAGCTCAACAGCAGGAAATAATAATGAACCAAAAAGAGGCAGAGAGAGAGAAGTGGAGGAGACATTTCGCAGTCATCAAAGTCCACCTTAGCTAAACCCTTTCCAACACCTCCCTGCTAAGGCCCCGTTACGTCTGCAGCAAGACCTCTGGCTCTGAGAGAGAGCTGTAGAGGGTGTAGCCCAACTCGTCCACTTCTTCAGGGGTGAGCTCTGAGAACAAGTTCACCTTGGGGTTCAGAGCACTGGGGAGCACACCCGCCTCCAAGTAACGGATCAGCCCCTTCAGCGCCTGCAGGAAGCGATCGGCCAGCACCTCCTGGGACCAGTCAGGCTCCTCCTGGGAGAGGTGCAGGATGACGTTGGTGAGCTGGCTGGCAGTGAGGTGACCCAGGGCTGGGTGGGACTTGCAGACAGCTTTGAAGATCTTCAGGCACAAGCAACGACAGCCGGAATCGCCCTGGTCCAGGGCCCGCAGCCGAGCCGTTTCCGCCGGCCGCAGGCTCAGTCGCCACAGGTTGTCATTTTGGGCCAATCGATGGGGTTTGGCCACCAGGATGATGTCACCCAACGTCAGGGATGGTAAGAAGTCAATAAAAAGACGCCGTCCCGGATCGTACTGGACTTCCAGTGTCAAATCTGCTGGGGGAGCTGCCGGACGGATGACGTAATCCAAGAGAGACCCGATGGCCGGCCAGTTGATGGAGCCGGCTACCACCTTCTCAAAGGTGTCAGCCACAGCCCTGGGGGACAGGTAGCCACCCACCACACAGCGGTCCCAGTAGCTGCTCCCACGGGGAAAGTACTCTGGGTTCTCCCGCCGCACCAGGTAGAAGCCAGGAATGTTCATGATGGTGTCCTCCCCGGGGATGCAGGACCACAGGTTCTGCTCCAGCATCAGAGGCACAATGAGCTGGATGTGATCAGCTGTCACTACCTTTCACAAGAGAGAAAAGTGGGTGAGAACAGGCTCTCTGCCCCCCACACTGTTTTACTTGTTGCCTCGAGGCAGCCCCCTGCTCAAAAGGGCCTGGAATAAGATTCAGCTGCCTCTCTCTCCTCTCCACGTGGGATTTGCAACCTCCCTTTGTCAAAGCCATCCTCACAGACTCTCTCCCATCATCAGTGGGATAACTCCAAGGTACAACTCAAGCTACTGCTGATACGGTATGTACTATTTAGAATTTTTAAATCCTTCAGGACCTGACATGGACTGAATCACTTTGCCTCTCATTGCTCTAAGTCCACTCCCTGGCTGTGAGATGCAGCTGGCCCGGGGCACAGCAACACCACGTGATAATTAAAAACAGGAGGCAGAGTATTAAGTTTCTAGTCAAGCTTTAAATTGCTGTGGTTTCATTATCCCATGCTACAGCTAGGTACTGCCCTCACCTGGGCTGTCACTTCATCTGGAAAAAGGTCATTAAAGATCCCTTTTCACCAATGGGATTAAGACCCCAGATCTAAGTTTCACTGGACACTTGACACTCCATTCCAGAGCTCTGACTCAAACAAAAAAGTGTGCCTCTGAATCACTCACTATAGCCACGGGCATCTTGCCATCAGGGACTGTTGTCCAATCCAGGTCTGTCATGCATTAAAAAAAAAAAAACAGAGTAGGGAAGACCTACATGAATACACAGGAGTTCTAAGGCGATAGAGTGTGTTTGGAAGGAGCTGGAAGGGACAAAAAGAAAACAGAGGTCTACTGGAGGAACAGCAAGGAAAACACAGCTAAAGGGAGAGACAGAGGGGAAGGAAAGAAAAGCTGAGATAATCCAGAGAAATAAACCAGCCAACAGCAAAAGCTTTGCACCCAACAGCACAGCAGCGTGGTCACGCCTGTCCAAACAGCCCTGCAGAAACCACCCCCCTGGCTCCAGGGTGGGAAAGGCACCAGCCTTACTGCAGAGGAATGCCACGCTGAGGCAGCACTGCCCCTGCCTAGGCAGAAGAAGGAGCCAGCTCATGGCCCTGGGGCTCACTCACCTGCAGGTCATCGTAGAGGCTGCCGCTCAGGTACATGTCCCGCAGGGGCATGTCCGGCAGCTTGGCGCGCAGGAAGCCGCGCAGCTCGGCGCAGATGTCCACTGCTGCCTGCTTGGCCTTGGCTTGCTCATCCCCTGGGATGGCCACCTGCCTCCTGTAGTAAGCCAGCAGCTTTTCTTGCAGGGACAGGCGAAGGCGGGATTTTTTCAGCTCCACCTGACTCCTCTTGGCGGCTGCCGTGGGTTTGGTGGGTCGGAAAAAGTCTGCAGGAGAGAAGGGAAACGGTTGGTCGCCTGCAGCGTGGAAGCGCAGCCTCTGCAGTCTCCAAAAGCCTTCAGAGGGCATTCTGCAGGCTTGACACGGGTACCAGGCAAAAGGGAGGTGCTGAGAAACTTCAAAAGATACTACTACAAGCATCAAAGCTGATGAAAACAAGTTACTAGATTTGGAATGTAGCCAGAAAAAAAACACTGTGTACACGGAAGCAATTTTAATGGTTACGTGCCCCAGTTCAGTTTCATCCAAAATTCAGCACTGTTACCAGCTCAAAAGCTTCCAACATGATGCCAGACTGGTGGATAAAACCCTCCTGAACAACAATCATGATTTCAGTAAGTTTTTCACATTATAATGGTTCTTTACAGATTATAAGGAAAAAAGCAGTCCTGCCTAGGGTATGAGACTAGAGTTCTCCCAGCCCCTTTTTTTCTGCATGGCTTCCTGAAGAAGTAAGTCCATGCCTCCCATCTGTTTTTCAGGCTTCTCTTCATAGAATCATCATAAAATGTCTGGCCTGGAAGGGACCTCCAAAGGTCACCTTGTCCAACCTGCAATACAGACCTCTTAATACAGACCAAGTTTCAGAAGCTCTCAATGAGAAGTAAGGAAGAAAACTGATCTAGGAGAGCTCTGGAAGGGCTTTGGAAGTCTGGAAAAGCTGACTTTCTTGCAGAGAATCTGGAAACAAAGCTAAAAGCTTGATCCTGATTTTTATTTTAAGTCTCCAAGCATAAATCTCCTGAAGTGATCATGGATAGGAAATAAAACCATTGAGAAAATCACAACCAAACACACATAACAAACACAGATGGACTGAGAGAGCCTGAAAGGAATTTTATCAGGGAAGATTGCACAGGTAGGTATGAGAGAAAAAGAGAAAAGAGAAAAGACTGAGAGAAAATAAAGCTTAAGACCATGGATCATGAGGGGAATAAAGAATGCAAAAAAAATGACTATTATTCACTCATTCCCAATCTGACTTTTAATTCTTGAAGTTGCCTGCTTAAAAGGAAAACATCAAAATGCTGGGCTAGCCAGAGCATTCTCTCTCCTGCATTCCTTTCAATTCCTTGAAATGAGCAGTGTTCCCAGGCCTGGATGACCCCCTGGCTGCTCCTTACCTGTGTCTGCAGCTGACGCATCGGTGGGCAGGGTCTGCAGCGAGCGGCTGAGGTTGCCCTTCACCTCCTGGCTGAGCAGGCGTGAGGAGGAGCCCAGCCAGTTGGGCTCTTCCCAGCTCCTCTTCCCCGAGCGGCTGAGGCGCGTGGGGCTGCTGGGGGCGCTGACCGCCCTCTCGTACATCTGCAGCACAACAGTGGGGGCACCCTGAGCACCCGGGGCCCCGCGCTGGCACCCCGCCCTCCACACGGGCACCCCGGGGGCCGTTCCCTCCCGTCCCCCCTCCCTGTGGCTGAGTGTCGTGCCAGGGCCCCGCTGGCTCACCCGTTTGACGGCCAGCGTGGCGATG